ACCAAACAAAACAAAAACCCCAAGGTGATAAAGCTGAAGAAAGAACAAGTCTAACTATTCAACCTTCAACCAGATCATGCACCAAAAAGTAGCAGGAAAAAAGACTCACTATCTTAATTTTAATTTTGATCATCCATCTTCTATTGTCCCTCCCTTCCTATCTACAAATGAGGATGATTCATTCTGAAATGGGACAGAATACAGGGCCATCCAAATCATGTGTTCAGCAAATGTACTGTGCACACACACAGAGCTAGCCAGGGGCCTGTGTCTGCCTACAGTAATTTCTTAGAGAAAGCCAGAAAAGCTCATTTTACTGTGTCTCAGAGAGAATTCTCTACATTAAACCCATATCTGCCTTTAGCAGGAGTTGCTGTACATAAGGAACTATGCAAGAGCTGAAAGGGGGAAAGAATAAAAGAATATGCAGGTTGAGATTGATCAACTCAGCATATGTACTGTGTATCAAATACCAGTCTTCCCAGCAAGGAACACTAATGTCAAAAATCCCTGAAATCTATCAGGGTGACTCCAAATTGATGAGCAGAGCTGGAGGGATGCTTAAGCCTACCAGAGCATAGTGTTTAAAAGCCATTGCACACTAAAGGCATGAAGTGCTACATTCCTGCTCCTCAGAAGAAAAAGCACAAACAGCTTCCTCAAGCAGGCAAGTGCCTCACCTGAAGATCAGGTTCCCAATCTATCAGGATCAGCTGAGAGTCAAGAAAAGAACAATGAGAAATAAAATCTGTCACACCAACCTACAAGGCTTAAGAAACAAGAGTAAACAAAACACCAAATCCAGATAAGGTGATTAAAGCTATCTTAGCAGCTGGTCTAAAATTTAAATGATAGACATTTCACACACCCTTTTTTTCCTTTTTTAATATTAGTCATCTTCAGACTATTGTCTTAGTTTTGTTTCTCTTCTTGTTTCTAGGAAACAGAGCCTCAACTAGCTAATGCAAAAAAAAACCCAAAAAAACCTCAAAAGAGAATTAAGTGAGAAGAGCAGGAAAAATGCAAAGCAGGGGAATTGAAACAAATGGAGGTCAGAGCATTGGTCCTATCACAAGACGTAAAAAATTTGGTATATTTCTATACCACCTTCACTACCCTAACAAGAACAACTTTGTTACCCACTGCAAAATCCAAACAGAGATCCAATTAAGCAGCTTTGGGTTTGTTTTGCTTTACAATATAAAAACAGGTGAATGCAGGCAGCAGATGCAAGACCTTTGCAGAACATACAATCTTCTCTCTTATGTTGCCTTATCTCCCAAGACAACAGCTTTACATCAAAGTGGTAGCCTGGAATATCTGCAGCACTCAGTGCCTTTAGCCCTTTACTACTGACATGGATAAAGGGTCTCCTACAACACAAGCATCCCACAAAAAACACACCAGGATCAGTACAGCTGCTGTTTCACACTGCCAGAGAGGGAGCCCCATTAGGGTCAATGCAGAGAAAGGATAATAGGTGCAAAAGCCTTTGGGAAGAAAAGGAAAAAACAATGTAACACTCAGCTCTTTGGCACCACAGTGGAGTTGGAATGAGCTTTGTTGCGTTGGGAATTGCTTCTTTCATCAGTTTAAGAAACTTCCCAGGAGATTCAGAAACCCCAGGAAAGTGAAAACTCAGAAAAACAATCACTTTTTTTTTTTTAAAAAAAATACTTTAGGCAAACCAGAGACCCAAATTAAGATTATGCTCAAAGAATGCCAAGGCTTCTTATGCACAAGTCCTCATTCACATAGTTGCTTGTATACCTGATGTGGATGAAGTCATGACGCCTGGGGCAACTGTTTTGTTCTCAGCCAAATCAACCCAGGTATGTTGAAAGTGTTCTTAGGAAAATACAACGTTGTTACGTAAATTCAGCTTTTAGGGGTAGGACTGGAGGAGCAAAGCATCTGCATGTCAGCATTGCAAAACCTCCGTACATGAGCAGTGGGATGGGGAAATCACTGGAGTAGAGTTGAGGATGACCAAGTTGCATGGACAGGTCATGAAACAACTGTGCATGAGCCATGCTGCTACATCAGATTCATATAAGTAGTTTGGTGTCCAGTAAATGCACAGTTCTGTCTGAGCAACAGAACCCAGATGGTCATAATCACTGTCACGGGGTCTGGTTGGAGCCCTGTCACCAGAAGTGCCCCTCAAGGTTCAGTACAGGGCCCAGTGTTGTTTAACCTGTTCATCAGTGCCTTGGATGAAGGAGCAGATGCCTCCTCAGCAAGTTCACTGATGACACAAAGCTGGGACTGATGACACAAAGCTGGGAGGAGTGGCTGATGCCCCAGAGGGCTGTGCAGCCCTTCAGAGGGACCTCAACAGGCTGGAGAGATGGGAAGGGAAGAACTGTCTGAAATCCAGCAAAGGCAAATGCAGGGTCCTGCACTGGGGAGGAACAACCCAGGCACCAGCACAGGCTGGGGGTGACCTGCTGGAGAACAGCTCTGCTGGGAGGGACCTGGGGGTTCTGGTGGACAGCAAGGTGTCCCTGAGCCAGCAGTGCCCTTGTGGCCAAGAAGGCCAGTGGTGTCCTGGGTGCATCAGGAAGAGCATTGCCAGCAGGTGCAGGGAGGTGATCCTGTCCCTCTGCTCAGCCCTGGTGAGGCACAGCTGGAGTGCTGTGTCCAGTTCTGGGCTGCTCAGTACAGAGAGACAGGGAGTTCCTGGAGTGGGTCCAGTGGAGAGCAAGGAGGATGCATGGTCAGCTGGAGCTTTTCTTATGAGGAAGGACTGAAGGAGCTGGGCCTGTTCAGCCTTGAAAAGAGACACCTGAGAGGGGACCTCATCGATGCCTGTCAGGATCTGAGGGAGCTGTCAGAGGATGGAGCCAGGCTCTGCTCGGTAGTGCCAAGCAACAGGACAAGAGGCAATGGAGAGAAACAGGTGCACAGGAAGTTCCACCAGAATATGAGGAAAAGCTCCTTTACTGTGCAGGTGACAGTTCAGTTCTTTACTGAACAAGTTGCCTAGAGAGACTGTGGAGTCTCCCTCACTGGAGATATTCAAGAACCATCTGGATGTAATCCCATGCCATGTGCACTAGGATGACCCTGCTTGAGCAGGGAGGTTGCATTGAATGACCCAGTGTGGTCCCTTCCAGCCCTACCTATTCTGTGAGTCTGTGTAATTTAAATAGAAAATAAATAAATAAAACTAAGCCAGTGTATCAGAAAGGTCAGGATTCTTTCAAATCAAGAGACAGTCACTGGAAGTCGGGGTGGGGGGGGGAGGAGGAACAAAAAAAAACCCACACCGAACTAAAAAACCCCACAAAAGCCAATAAAACCCAAACTTAACAAGATGATTACATTGTTAGCTCTAGACTGTCTTGACTGCATCAAATCACAAGACTATCACACAACAGGCCAGCCATGGCACAAAAGCAGCATGTCATACAAGCCTTTACACTTTTAGAACACACATCTAGTATATTCCTGCCCAGGCTGTGAAATCAAGTAAGGACAGGAATTCCCCTGTAAAGCCCTAAGGAACCACATAACCTTTTAATTAGCCAAAAGAAACCCCAGGTGTACTCACATTTGATTAAATCAATGTCAGGCATGCTCATCAAAGGACATTGCTATTAACAAAACTAACCTATCTTCAGCTATGCAAGAGCCCAAAATACCTGTTCACTGCACTCATTTTTTTCTCTCTCCTTGCTGACTTCAAGTGTGAACATATTCAGTGTCAGAAAAGATACACAGGAAGAGGCAAAACACACCAGAATATATCTGCTTGGCTCCAAAGAGTTCAAGCATAATATATGCTATTTAACACTGATGGACCTCCAATTGTCTGCAGATTAACAGATAATTCAACTGTCTGCTGACAGAAAAGGAGGCAATAAGCAGAAATTAAAACACATTAAATTCCATTTGAACACAAAGGAAAAATAATTTTTTTTTTTAAAATCTTTATTTTCATGTTTGTATTACTGTGAGAGTAGTCAAACACTGGAACATGGTGCCCAGAGATGGTGGCATCTCCATTTCTGGAGATATTCAAAAGCTGCCTGGCCACAGGCGTGGGCAACCTGCTGGAGGTGACCCTGCTTGAGCACAAGGGTTAGACTAGATGATCTCAAGAGGCTCCCCCAACCACAGCAATGCTGTGATTTGGTGAATTAGGAAATCAACAGGGCAGGCAAAAATTTCTAGCCACTTTCACTGACTCCATCTCTCATTTTAGCCACAAACACAGAATCTTTAAATGCTGCTAGCACACTTACTGTACCCTTGAAAACATCATCTACAATTGATGTGGAAGCTCTTGTCTTCTAATTCCAGCTTTCATGTCTTAAGAGTATGTCCATGAAATATGACTTGGAGATAGTGCCCTTGGTCTTCTCTTTTAGCTTGCTGGCCAGCAGAACGAGCTCAAAGGAGAGCCAAACTCATTGATCCCTGCATTGCAGCAGACCTCTCCAGCCCTTACCCATGTCCCTGTAGGTTGCTCTTTTGCTTTCCATCAAAGTCTCCTTCTGGATACCTCTACATGAACTTGGACTACAACTGACAGATGGGTTTCACTCCAAAGAACCCACATATAAGCAGGTTCACATATAACCACTACGCATGGTAAGTCATAAACCGCAGGGCGTCTACAAGAAGGCTTCTGTCAATTCATTGAAAGCATCATTTGCTCCATTAGGTATTTATTGGATTGAGAATCTAACTGAATCATGCTTTTGTTCATCATACTACAGAACATAGTGAAAAGTCCACAAAATGTATTTAACTCCCAGCTTAGAGCAAGAGGAATGAGAGTAGTTCCATTAAAAAGAGACCTCATTAAAATTTGATAATGCAGCCCTTCTCCCTTGCCAATTACACTAACAGTGCTCTGTCTCATCGTTCTCTGGTGTTTAAAGAGCAGTAAATAGGCTTCCTATAGAAGATGATAATGGAAACACCCTGAATCTTTATGTTAATGCACCAGTGGTTTGTTTCAGCTTTGAGGAATGTGGTTAGTGACTTACCCTGCTGGATAAGCGACAAGGCCAGTTCTGGGGTCACAGGCTAATCCTCTGCCTCCTGACACGGTTATGCCCAACACCTTCTCCAAAGTCACCTAGAGCATATAAGAAAAAAAACAGTACTATGAAATGTGAGTGCAGTTCAAATAGACCCATAGCACAGATGCCGATGGTCTGGTTCACACTGGATCCCTGGTTCCTAGAAATCCACTGAGAAGCACCAGGTACAACCCACTTATTACTTTCTCTATGCCAGAGCATTGCAAACAGAGGACTGCAAGCAGCAGATAGTACTGGTGAAAAGCTGGGATGCACATTCATTGACCACCCATTCCCATCCTCCCAGTAAGAGCAACATACCACTGTCTCTAGAGCTTGGCTCTTTCCTGAAAACTGTTTCCAGGCTGACACATTCTCTTTGTTGCCTCCATCCAGTGGTAGGTGGTTCAGCCTGGTCCCAGCCTTGTATTCCTAGGAACTGAATATTCAGTTTTTCCTAGGGTGCTTGAGTTGGAAATCACAGCTAGTGGTCAAAGGCATCCCTTGCCAGGAGTCATGAGACAGAACACCATAAACATAATTCAGAAGCCTGCTGCATACCAATGACCCTTGCAAGAGACAGTTATCTGAATGTCCCCACACTTCCCCTCAGGCAAAGATCCCCACTATTTTTAGGAAAACAAAAGAAATGCAACTGGGAAGAGCTACTTGGAAGATACAAAGGCCTCTGTAGTAAGAAGCTGATAAAAGCAAAAAAAAAAAACCAAAAAAAACTAAAACGGGAGGACAGTTGACAAATGGACATGACACAATGTTTTGGGGAGCACTCCCTGGCAGAGAAAGCATCAGAATTCAGCGATTACCCCAAAGCAAAAGGCTGCAGTGGCATTACACAGCACAAAATCTGATTTGTGGCATGAAAGGACTCAACCTCTGAGCACAAACCAGTTGTCAGCCCTGGGGCTATTTTGACCGACACAAAATTATTCTCTTTCCTTTACATTTGCAGAGTTTAATTTTATTTATTATATATTTGATGCATACATTCCTCCTCAGCATTGCTGTCTGTGCCAAACTCAAGGATTTTACTGGGTCACAGTCTTCTGTTTATAATTATCATCATCTAAGTTATATTTGGTTAAAGCCTTAGGGGTATGGACACAGCATAAGAAGTTACTATTGTAATAATTACTACTGACTTTAATAGCTGCCCTGAAGATGAACATCTTGCATTTATATGGACGTGGAGCACAAAAGGCAGGGGCGGGGCAGGTTTCCCACGCCACCCTGACCACACACCTTACCAGACCTGAGGAGTTTGGCTGCAGGGTGAGACACAAGGTCTCATGGAGCTCAAGGCTCAGGCTGCTAGGGAAGGAGTCAGAAGTAACCCCACACAGAGAAGCACCTTGATTCATCAGGTGAAGCAGGGCTGAGGTGCCACCACTTAACATGAGCCGTGCAAGCTTTCAGTTAGTTCAGATTTGGCCTGCCTTCAAACAGTGACATGGAAAGTAGATTTCATATTCCAATCTCTGGAACATCTCAGTCATTTTTTCCCCTCTTATTAATAATATACCCCAAGTACTTTAAGACATTATGAGAAACCACCAAAATGTCCCCTTCCTTTGCAAACTGAGAATCTCTGAATACATGGCTTTTACAAAACTCCACTGAATTTTTCTTAAGAAGGAATATGTAATTAAAAATGCAGTTACAAATCCACTGATAAAGACAGGAACTAGTTTTGTTTCAACTTAATACTGGAACAAAAATTTGGTGGTTAGGGAGAGGAGTGGAGAAGGCCAGGAGGATATCTACTCTTCCAGACTTGTTAACAATACTTCAAAACATATCTTTTTAAAGCAGCTCAAAAAGATGCAGAAAGAACTCACTGCTTCTGCTGCTGAGATTCTGGCTAATATCAGCAGTTCCCAAACTAGAAGAGGTTTAAGTTCCTAAAGAAAATGCATTCTTTTGTGAAGGAGGAAGTGGAAGAGACATGTGCCATTCAAGTAGCTCCATCTAGATAAAGCACCAATTACTTGATGCTGTCAGCAAACATCAATTTAGAATGCTGTGATTACACTGTTCAGCGCGGGCTTTAGCAGAATTATAGTCTGGCTGTAATTCCCCCTATCCTAAAAGACACTGCTTGACCTTGGCTATGCAGATATTCCAGCAGCAATTCAGCAACCTACTTTCACCAACAGGTATGTTTTTGCTCTGCAAGGACATTTATCGAGCCTCTCAGTGTGAAGTCTTACCACAGCTGAGCTGATCTTACAGCAGCCTGTCTTGGAAGGGACAGTTCCTTCCTCATCCTACACAGCCCAGTGGCACCCCCCACCATTTCCCTCACTCCAGACAGCCCTGGCATGGCAATTACCTGTCCAGAAGGCCAAACCAGCAGAAAACCATGTTCCACTTTTTATTTTCTGTTTAATTTCTGTTTGCCAGCCTGGGGAGAACCACAGGAAGTCAGTGGAGGTCCCCTGCTGCTCTGCCAAGAGACTTTTTATGGCAACACTAGGATGTGGAGTCTGCCTTTCTCCTATGGTCAACACACAGCTTGACCTAAAAGGAGTAGCTCAGTCTTCCAGTCTAATTATTTTACTGCCAGTGAGTAGCTTCTGGCCTCCAACAGACCATTTATTCCTTTAGAGAAAGGCAACTGTCAAGGCCATACCTCTTATATTGACAGACCAAGTGCCACAGAAACAGGCACCTGTCTCTAGACTAAAGATTCACAATTAACTTTCTGAAAAAGGCTTCCCCCTCTTTTGCTCCCAGTCTTAACTTCAAAAACTTCCTCGTGTAAAGAACTTGAAAGGCAGGCCCACAAAGCCTATTCAAAGGCACCACCTCCATTTGATAATAGTCAAGTATTAAAACCAACTTGCATCAAAAAAGAGTGCATATAAATTTAAAATGTGATCTTATGAGACTTGTGAGCTCCACTTCAACCAACCTGCGCACAATACACCACAGCTTTTTCCCCATGACCAGCTTCCAGACTATGTGACATAGAGGCAAGATATAGTAACTTTGTCACAAAATTTGGGAATGAAAAACATTTCAGAGAGAAAAAACAATAGGTAACAACACTGCATAAACTGGATTCTTCTCAATTTTTCCGCTAAAGTAAATGAATTCTTAATATGGTTAATTAGTGCAAAAACACATCAACTTTAACTTCCTAATCTGGAATTAAGATTTGTCAGCAAAGGGCAGATTTGATACAGGTCTGCCATTATCCCACATCTGAAGTTACCACTTCCTCCTGTGGTAAGGGCAGTCTCCCAGTCCTACACAGCCATAAACACTGCCACTCATATAAGTCTCCCAAGTAGTACTTCAGCACATCCCAGTCAGAAACAAATTATTTTGCACACCTTCCCAAGTCCGATCTGAGCTAACCACAGGACCTGGAAAGTTCCCCTGCAGATCTGAGACACTGTTCATTACCAATAGCTCCTCTGTTTGCCCAGTTTGCATCCTACAGTTGTCAGACATGTCACTGCTTGCTCAGGCCTTCACAGGCAACTAATGGGCCACCTCAACACCCTCATCCAAACCTGGAAACAACTGCAAGATTAAACCTGTCATTTGTACTAAATTAGAGGCAGGAGAGAAGGCTGACAAGCCTCATTTGTTACTTCATCTTGAGGCTTCTATTAATAGCATTTGGCACTTTCAGTCAAGGTTCTCTATGCGACTTGAGAGAGTTATTGAATTGATTCACACACAAAACACTTCTGCAGCTCATTTTGTGCTGCTAGCTGGAACCATCCCATCTCCATTCCTTTAAGGTCAACTTTTACTCAAATTTCAAGGCTCAATATACACTCTCAGACACCAAAACCTGTGCTGCTAACACCTGTCTTGCAAAATCCGATATTCAGCCATTTTACAGGATTAAATTTAAATAAATTAGGTTCCTTGGAACTGCACAAATGTGTGTAAAGAAATTTTTGTGCCTAAGCAGATCCCTTGCCCTGTTTCTTCCACGTCAAATTCCAACACCATCAGACAGGTAGGACAAAATCAGCAGAGCCCTGAATTGTAGGACTCAAGGTACCAAGAGATATTCACAGCAGCTGTACCTTCCCAGAAAGAGGTCTCACTGCAGCCCAATCCCACATGGAAGTCAAAGAGCATATCTGAGAGCAGCCCTTGCTTCCATCAGGCAGTCCCACACTGCACGTGGGGAAAGCCCATGCTTGGGGGAAGAAGCTGTGCCATCTTTCCCTTCCTACTGAGGTGCAGATAATAATTTCAGAAAGACTGATCTAAACAGCCCCAGCCAGCCTCATTTAGCTTTTCAGAAAATTCAATGTCTGACCAGCTGCACCCAGGTCTCGGAGTGAGTTTTGTACTTGCATGAACTGTTTCTGTTGGTTTGAGGAACTTACCACAAACAATTGCTTCCATATGCTATAAGAACAACACAGAAATCCCTGAAGGATCAGCCTAACTTCACCCCCTGCAAACACTTTGCTCTTTCCCACCATTTGCATTCCTTTGGGACCATCTAGACTTGCAAAGCCACACAGGAGTACAGCAGACAAACGCTGTGGCCTGCACATCCAGCCAAGACTCTGTTAGAAAGCAGTAATAAACACACTCAGCACAGCAATAATTTCCACAGGTGCCAAATGGGACAATCTCATCACATGGACAGTCCTGCCTGTCACAGGCACTCTGCCTACAGCTGCACTGTTTCACTACTGAACCCCTGCTGCTGGGTAGGAGCTCCTGTATCTGTGCCTGTTTGCACACCACCAGATTTCTGTGCTCTGCCTTCATCTTAAAAGAAAGAGAGAAAAAGACATTTTCAAGACAAAGCCATCTTTAGGCTTTAGGCCACCAGGCATCCCTCAAAGAGTTTTGACTGTAGGCTGAATAATAGCCTGCTGCCACCCACCCCACCATTCTCCCCAGGCCAGCAAAAGACTAAGTGGGAGTTCAACAGTACTTCAGCTCTTCATCCCCACACTCATATAACAAAGAAATTAGAGTTTTCTGACTTGATTATCTCACCTCCTGCCTTCTTATGCTAACTTCACTCTCTTTTAGGCCCAAAATCTCATCC